TTTTTTTTTTATTTTGAAACTAACATATAAAGCTGCATCCAAGTTGTATCCACAAACCCAAAGCTAAGATTCTCTTAACGGAGCACATGACAAACACAGCTACACGTAACTGGTATTGGCATGGCGGAAGCCCCATCAAAATGAAATCGTTAAAGTCAACATCAACGTTAATTGTCTATATTGGTCGGTCTATGACGCTGGCGAGACCAAAGGAAATAGGCTGAGGTGCCGCGTCCGTCAGGATTGAGACTCTACTTAAGACGCGGCCCATGCAAGGCGCTACAAATGATTGCGAAACCGATATGCCTTAAGGAGAGTGGAATTACACTTAACAGTAGAATCGGTGTGTAGCTGTTGGTTTTGTTTCACACATATGCACCGTCTGCCTCGTAATTATATGTGTATTCCCAAATGAATGTTAAACATTGTTCGCCTGCGATAAGATCTCCAGGAAATTAAATGCTGGAAACGCGACCAGTACCCTTCCAAATTTGAAAGTGACAGGTGTTTAACAGGGGTATCACAAGTGGTGGACATATCCGATCAGAACATCCGAGCCGACGCCAGCGATATGTTTATTGATGGCAACCGTGGCCTAGGAAGATTAACAGGCAAGAATGATTAGTAAGGCCAATGCGATCTTGGGAAAACAAGCCAAACTGCTTAAAATATTTAGTGGGTAAACATCTACTTCTTAACTAGGGAGCGCAAATTAAAATGTTGTTGTGGCGGAATTCATCAAAAATATTAAATTAAATAGGTTTATGTTTGTTTAAGTAAACTAAAAGAATTAAATTCAACCAACTTTAACCTCTATTGCATAGAATACGAAATGTAGTCAAGGAAAATTTGAGCTTACGAAGGCAGCATTTAAAATAAAATAAAACGAAAAAAGTTAAAGTCAAGCTACCGAACATTTGAAAGTAGATTTTTATTATAATTTGACGGGAGTTTTTGGCCTCTATAATCATGCTTGCCGATTAATCAATAGGTTAGTCAGCGACAGGCGGACGCCGTTATTTAGATTCTGCTTGCAAGGAGAATGAGAATTTGCTTTCAAGAGTTAGGCGTGGCCAATAGAGAGACATCTGCCAGGGCCTTTGGCTGTAACCGGTCATCTTCCTCGTAATATGTGCTTGTTAATGGTAAGTAGGTCTCCGCAAGTTAGCTGTGGAGATACGCGAGAAAAAAAGGCCACGTTGCTGGCCAACGAACATTTACGTTTGTGAGAAGACGTCTTCAGAGACACTCGACAGGTGGAATGGACTTTGAAATCGCAAGCAGATTCCTTGCACCCGTCACTAGGTTTACAGTGCATTGGATAGTGCATTTAGCATCTGGCGACACACACGCTCTTTATATGTTATTCGGCTTTTCTTAAAATTGCCCCATAATGATGAATGACAAAGGAGCACCTTTGATTTTACTGAAGGGTTCAGTATAATGGTGATTGCAGCAAGTATGAAGAAGTTCACATTTATTGTCTCAAATGGTGCACAAACTATTGCCACTGAAACACAAAAATAAGTACGTTACGGGTTTTCATAAAAGTAATGATGCTACGCGTTCCCGCAATAAATAAAAAGCTAAGGCGATCTCGCGAACCATCATTTTATTGATTCCACTTAAAAGTGCGTGGAATTTGTGCCACATCTTAAAAAAAGTATTATGTGTTGGCTAGTATCTCCAAAACGCTTAGACCAATGCAGAGGAAGGTGTATCCGATTTGAAAGAAATGTTTTCAAACGGATTAACCATGGGCAATCTCCCATCGACTGCCGCTGCTTGCCTATGTGCAGATGTTATCGTCGTCAACTGTCGTCCGAAATCGGTAATCGCGCTTCCATTCCTGCGTCTTTTTGGCCTAATAGATTCAGAATGAGTAAATGATGCACGCACAACATTTATGTCAGTTTGTTTTCGTTAATAGCGTAAGCTAGAGCTAGATTTATTGTGAGGTTCTTTCAACCATCATTTGACTATTTTAAA